GAGCCCAAAGCGCCCCCCTTCTCCGCCTTGCCCTTCAGAGGGCTTCGCTGCCCGGCCACGCCAGGGACGACCCGCCAGGCCGCGGGAGTTCTGGGCGCCGCTCCCCGGGACGCGCCGTCCTGTCTGAGGCCTCGTCTCGGGCGCGGAGGCTCTGCTGCCGCCCCTCCAGGCTCCCCGCCGAGTCACGGGAGCTCACTGAGCGGGGTTTGGTGCGCTCGGGTGCTGGGTCGGTCGTCCCTGCCGGTCTCCGCCGATGGGTGCCCACCCGGGCCCGCCTCTGGGTTCGCACACCTGCAGCTCTGGCTTACGTGGGACCCAGAGCTGCCCTCCATTAGGGCGCGTACAGGCTTTGGTAATGACTTTCCTCGTGGAGCTGGTTCCCTGGTGTGTGTGTGTGTGTGTTTTCACCAACTGCTCCATTTGTGGGGATGGGGAAAGGTGCTTCGAAGGGCCTATATTCTCAACGTACTGCTTTAGTTCGTTGTATTTACTTCTAGTGTTTCTTTTTAAACTTTTAAGAACAGTTGACAAGACTGCTAAAATTACTAACCGAGTCTGTATTCGTAGGTGCATCTTGCACGTAATTGCCGTTTGTGTTTGGACATCTTAGGAATAGTAGTGGGTAAATTGAGAAGTCAGCCAAATTTGTGAATTGAGAGGTGATTTTAAAGCAGAAACTTAATTTGGAGGGTAATGGTTCAAAGTGCTTAGAGTCCGAACCTAAACCTTATCTGAAGATCAGTTTTGGGGGGTGGTGGTGGTGAAGAACTTTGCTGGAAAAAAAAAGAACCTTTAGTAAGGTGTTCTTTGCCTTTTGGCACAGACATTAGTGATGGCAGTAGTGGGATCCGAAGCTTGTTTGACTTTGACAAAGAGCTCTGGTTTCCAGTTAAACCGAAACCTAATCAGCTTATACTCTTGTGCAAAACTGGTTTTTATTTAGTATGCTGTAGGAACGTTAAATCCGAGGGATAAGGAAAGTTGAAAGCACTAAGCACTATGTGCACTAAGCACTATGTTAAAAAAACATAACTTACGAGTCTTTTCTAATTTCTAGGAGGACACCATGAAAATTTGGTTCCCACTGATGCAAAGGAAAACATTTTAAACCCCAAACTGATCAATCCTGGACATTTAAAGGAATTTTCCCCCTTTTTTAATTTAAGCAAAGAGGCTTAAAAAAGAAAACATGGCAGATGTGGATCCAGACACATTGCTGGAATGGTTACAGATGGGACAGGGAGATGAAAGGGACATGCAACTAATAGCACTTGAACAGCTATGCATGCTACTTCTGATGTCTGACAACGTGGATCGATGTTTTGAAACGTAAGTACATCACTTGGTCATCTTCCTTTGGGGTTGCTGTAGTGACATCTGTTTTCAACTGTTTACTGACTTCAGTTTGTTTAGAATTGTTTAAAGCTACCTTTTAAAAAGTTTTGCATTTACACTTTTCTGTGTAGTAAGTCGAGTAATGATAATTGTGATGACACAAATATGTGTTTGTTGAATGTATAGGGGTAAGTAGGGAATACATTTTTAACCATAGCTTGGTTGATTCATTTTCAAAATATGTTATGAACTGCTAAAATACAGGTACTTGAAGGTAACTATTCCTGTTCCAAGAAATTAACTAGAAATCGCCATGAAAATGTAGATGATAATGAGCATATGTTTATAACTGCCAATTTTTTGTAAGTTTTAAGTCACATGACATCCTACTTTTGTTACAGCAAACCATTGCCTTGTAAATTTCAGTTTGGAGGGTATAAATTGGATGTTACCCATATGGCATACTTTTGGAATAGTAGAAACAGATTATGAAGTTTGGACAGTTTAAACAATTTTATTCAGAGGTTAAAGTGTAGAATTTATGCAAAAATGTAAAAGAGAATTCATTATTAGAGTAGCCATTAATGCCATGTTTTTCTTCTGAATGCTGTTTTAATACCATTTTGAGGTAGTTAATAGAAAATATTTGAGATGTTGATGTAAAATTTGATGTAATTGTCTTAATTTCTTTGAAGTGAGGATAAATATTGTGTTATTAAATTGATAACACATTTTTAATTGCCTTCATTTTTGAATGATTATTGAAGATGAATTACTAAGTGAGTAATTAATAATCCTCAGCTGAGGAACTTGGAAAAAGCTAATGTGACAGAGGCAAGGAAAAGTTGCTGGAGAGCTGGGTTGAGGTAGGGTCAATATCAGATGGAGTCTTTTGTGTATGCTAAGCTTTTGGTTTTGTCTCAAGGCGATGGGAAGTGCAATGAAAGATGTGATTAAATTTTTCTTTTAGAAACATAACCTGCATTATGGAGAATAGTTGAGGACAAATGCTTGTAGACTTTTTAGGTTATGAGTCAGAGAAAAGGATTGCTGTAATAAAAGTATAAATAAGTGGATAGATTGGAGATATTTAGGAAGTAAAATAGGACTTGTACATTGAGTGGATTTTTAACCCGTGTTTAAGTCTGTAAGGTCATATACTTACTGGTCATATGAAAAATATTGGTCTACTGAGTTAGATATCCTAAATTGACATATGTCATCCAAAATATCAAAAACACATTTGCTGATATGACTACTGATTTCATCAGAATCTTTAAATATTGGGGAGCTGTCAGTGTCACAGTGGCAGCAGACACAAGTTTCCCCAAATTGTAATTTTTGCTTGAATACTTGAATATTATCAATGGCAACAAATAGTCAAATTGTTTTCCTTGAAATGGAAGGCTTAACTTCATTAATTTTTGAGAAAATGTTTGCCAGATATCCAAGTCTACATAACCACAGTTTGAAGTTCTTTGAAGTAAAAATGATGTTGCATGAAAAAAGTGGCGAGTTGGGCTCTCCAAAGGTTGTACAAGTACTTTCCCTTGACACAACCATCATTCTTTGGTATGCAGAAGTACTTGACACTTTCGTCCCATTTCCTTAAGTAGAATATTAAAAAAATGTATTCAAGGTTTGCGATTAGTGACATTAATGATTTCTTTTGCTTCACCAATGTTATTCTATAGTAGAGTTGGTTTTTAAAAATTTCCATGCCAGAACTTGTAGTACAGTTTAGTGCCACTACCTTGATTCATACTAAAGCACCAACAGTTGTATCCAGTACTAGAGGCCCAATGCATGAAATTTGTGCAAGAGTAGGCCTTCCCCCAGGTGCCTGCTGGCAGCCGGGACCCAGGCTTCCCTCACAGTCCCAGCTTTGTCCGGAAGGACGTCTGGTTCAATTAGCATATTATGCTTTTATTATTATAGATTGTTTTTGCATCATTAGTTTACATGCCAGCACAGGAAAGAAATGATTCAAGAAGAAAAAGGACAATTGTGTTGAATATGGTGAGAGGTCAAGTAGGGTTGAAGACTAAAAGGTGTCCTTTGGATTTAGCAACATTCTCAAGATCATTGATCTTAATGAGGACTTGGAGTGGAATGGTGATGAGGGACAGATCCGAATGGGTTGAGGAGTAAGTAGAAAGTGAAGAAATGGAGACAATGCGAAAAACTTTTTTGAGAAGTTGGATTGAAATGGGAGTGTGGGCTTTTTAAAAACTTTTAGATGTCAAAGTGATAGGAGAAAAAATGGATAATCCGTAGTGTAAGGATTCTGAAAAAAATAAAAAATACAACAACAACAAAAAACCGGGAGAGAATTGGCTCTTGTCAGGAGCAGTGCTTTTAAAACTTTAATATGCATAATGTGAGTCACCTGGGGGATCTTGTTAAGCTGCAAATTGTGATTTAGTTGGTCTGGTGTGGTGCCTGATATTCTGCATTTCTAATGTGCTACCAGGTAAGGCTGAAGCTGTTGGTTTGAAAATCCACATTGTGTAGCAAAGCTCTGATCCACTGCTGGGGAGAGAAGTTTTAAAACTCCTGTTGTAAAACCGGGAAGATGGAGTGGTTAGATGTAGATGTTTTAGGTTTGATGGTAAAAAGTTGATGGGATATCTGTCTGATGACATCTATTTTTCCTCCTGAAGAAGGAGATTAAAAAGAATACCGTATTTGCCGGCGTATAAGACGACTGGGTGTATAAGATGACCCCCTAACATTTCCACTCAAAATACAGTTTGTTATATACTCGCCGTATAAGACTACCCCCTCTTCCGCACACCTTCCACACACCAAATAAAAGGTAAAACAATATCAGATTTGATTTTAACATTT